ATCAAGTTTGTCTTTGGTATACAGTCTTGAAATTTTTAGTACCGGTATCGTATAATATATAGAAAAAATGTATTATATATAATGAAATATGAAAGAATGTTTTATGCAGTGCGGTGTTTGAAATTAAATGAAGATATGATCTTCGCACTTTGCTGGACAATTTGAGCAATTGTCTCATGAACCTGAAAAATTAAGGTGACTCAACGCGATTCGAACCCATGACCTCGGCGCTGCCGGTGCAGTGCTCTGACCAACTGAGCTATGAAGTGACACAGTGTTGAGCAAGTCAATTTTGTTGGGCTCATGTTTTCTCGTGAAAGGATGGGTTCGAATCCCGTTGAGTCGCATGAATTTTTCAGGCTCATGAGACAATTGCTTAATTGTCCAGCAAAGTGCGACGATCATATCTTCATTTAACATAGTAAAATATTATAATATAAGTGGTGGATGAAACCCGGTGGGCTTTTGTTTTGGGCCGTGCGTTACTAAAATATAGTAATTTGGATGTAGATTTCCCATCCAGGTAATTAGTGTACAGGTCTGTGGGGCTAACTCGGGAGAATTTCAGGGCACGAATTTTAAAGGCACGTAATTCATTTTTCTATATAATAATGATAAGACAGGATTTCAATCAACCAATTCTCGCTTGGTTTCATAATTATATAACACGTGATTTTAGTTAATTCGGGGGAAAGGAATAAGTGCTAAAACATGAAATGTAATTTGGTAATTTTCATGTGTTGTCGAGATTCAGGGAATTTAAAATTTTACAACTTATAGTTTATACCCAATTCTAGGAAATATTAAGAAGAAGGACAACAGGGTTCAACAAATTTATTGACAAAGTGTGATATTTCGATATTTTTCAAGCGCATGCGCTGTTCTGCACTGTGCGAGCATGTAACAGATGATGCACCTGCCTTAAAAATGATAGTAAACAAAAGCAACTGTTGCATAGAGTTTATTCATCGTACAAAGCTCTAATTTACATTAGCGCTAATCATACAATTTAGAAAAGTTTTTATGGCTAAAACGTAGACTTTGCGTTTGTATAAAGCCATAGTTATCAATCGTCATAAATGTTTATGAAAGCATCTTTTGCTTGTTGGAATGAATAGTTTCATGTAAAATAAATGTAAAAGAAAAGAGTGGGATCATCAGCAAATGATGTGTATTTTTCTTGATCATGTTGTTTTATGTATCGCAAACGCTAAGCATGTAGACTTTGAGTATTGTAGCAATGAATGTAACGTGTTCGTCATTATTTGTGATTTAGCATTTCAGCAATATCCGCTCACTGTCACATACACGCAATTCAAGATAATTAAGCAATAGAAAAACCCTTTTCATGTTTCTATGACTCTATGGAAACAAGTAATATGTTTTCTATTTCGTTGAGAGAATAGCCAAACAGCACCTGCCTTAGAAATGACAGTACACAATGCACAAATGGGTTCTATTTATTAATCGTACAAATCTCTAATTTACATAACGCGAACGTGCAATTTCGCAAAAAAATTTATAGTATATTTTGCGACCGTTGTTTGAATTTTTGCAACGCAAAAATATAAATTTCTCCATTTACTTCACTTCGCCGATCCTAGCTTGTTAACTGTCGAACGCTACCTTTCATAGAGTTAATATTGAATAAATAAGTTTACTATATCTGAGTGGCAGTTGTCTTGCGAACGTGCCTTTGAAATTAAACGAATTACACACGGTCGAGGACTTTCAAGTGTATTATGTATTTACGACGAATGTGCTTTTGATAAAAGATTTTTCATTTCCGCCATTAAATTCATTGCATCTTTACGTAAAAGTTTATTTTTCCAAAAGAAAATCAAGCAGTTAAATGTACAATTCATTGTCGCTATTGTTTTTATCCAGAGAGCCGAGAACCTTTCAACTGCGATTTTTGATTTAGGAACAAGAACAACATAAAGTGACAGCACAACAGTTATAAAGTAGAAAAACATGAAACTGACAAATGCCAACAGGCAGCTAGATAAATGCTTCAAGATAAGTATTTTCTTTTTCTGTTTGGCATCATTCGAAGGCGTTTTTTTCGCCACCATCAACAGTTTGAAGTTGATAATTACCATCGGAGTCATGAAGAAAAAAATGAAAAATGCACCAAATGTGTACATTGAATAAAGCAGCTCGTCTATACTCAATGTCATGAACACAAGATTTATTGACAGTATTATTCCTAAAATCGCCAATAGTCTTCCTTTTGTGATCTTGGTCTTGTGATATATCGGACGAAATATAGCCAAATATCGATCGATGTTCATGACGAATAGAGCGAGTATGGAAGTCAAGTGAAAATAAGATGTGGCGTCCAGCGTGATCGATACCCAGTGTGGCAAATGTTTTAACTTTTCCGTCATTGAAATAATGGAAAGAACTGCCACCAAAGGATGATAGACAATCACTGTCAACAAGTCGCAATACGATAAAACCATGATCATATAATAACACAATTTCTTTTGCAATTGTGTGTTACGCCAAAACACCACAATTACAAGACTGTTTGAAATGATACCAAGTATGAAGAATATTCCATTGACGATCGTTATTGTCAGGAAATTGAAAAAATCGAGATCCATCTTGGCTTGGTTTGAAGAGTAGCTTTATTGGATAAGTTAATCAAATTTTAGAATCCTATACCCTTGTATACATACTTAGTAGCTTTAAACTTGCACAGTTTATGCAAAACGGTATTCTAGAAATTGCTCAGCAAATTCAAAGCTCCTATTGAACTTGAAAAAAGTATTTTCCCGCTACCCTAAGGCTGCGGACCATTTTCTACTACTTGATAGACGATTGTAATGTTCTTGCACTGATGAGGTTTTATCACTTTTTTACAATCTCATTCATATTTAAAATAACATCGACAACGACCTGCTAATTCGTTATCTCACGTCAATCGCATGGGATGTGATTACATTAATGCTTCTTGAGAGAAATTTGGAAGAAGTTATCTTGGTTATTTAATATTCTTTTTATTTGAAATAAGTTATTTCTAGTGGGGATGAGCTTTCAAGCCTAACTTATTTCATGATTGCGATGGGATTCAGGTTTTGGATAATAATCTATTACTGCTTTTTATATGTTTAATTGCCTCGTTTTATTATATTTGTGAATTAAAATGAATATTTTCATTGAATTTGACCGGTAATCGGTTGGAGACCGTTTATTGATATAAAATTTCATTTCATTAAAGTAGTTTTCCTAGCAAGATTTAAAATTCAACAGACTTTAGCGGAAATTTTTAAACTTTGACGTCTCATTTGGCTATTTACCATTGAAAACAACAGTAAGTTGAATTAATGAAAAAGTCACGAAAACAGGATATTATAATTCTATTGCCCTCTAACACTAAAAGATTGGATTTTGCTAGAATCGCGCCATTTCCTTTTCGTAGAATGGTCAAGTTCCACTGATAAACTATATGGACATTAGGCTCATGTTCATATGTAATGTACATAATATAAAACAAATTCCGAAGAAACAAGACATCTTGAGATTGCAAAATATGAATCAAAACAAGACGAGAAGTAAACTGTAAATTTTCGACTTTATTTCAAAGTCATCCTCATTCTGTCTGAAGATTGCACTTTTAATGACCGAATCGAGCCCATGTCAGGGTATGTTATGCATGAAGAACTAGACCCGCGGAAAGGACAATTTAAACTTCATGAACGGGAGAGAGGCTATGCTACAAAATATGTCGCTAGAAACTCATGTGGGAATCTGATTGTATGTTTTTCCGAAGGTCATGAGGATGTTATGCTGTTGTTGAAGCGCAAAAATTTTTTATATCTATAGAGGCTATATTTTTTACAAGTGAAAATATTGAATGCGTTATGACTGTATTCCTTTAATGAATATAGACAGCTGTCTAAAACTACGTGATGCTAATGCAGCAGGATACATTGTGACGCAACTCGCGATCGTTATCTTCACGAAATAGTGAGCCACACAAATCAACTCAAGCAGTCGTTAAAATTTCAGGCATGATTGCATTTAGTATCGAGCACTATTCCAAATACTAGAGCTGTTATTGAACAGCTAATCTTTTCAGTTGCTTGAGATTGTATACCGAAAAAGTTGAGTCACGAAAAGTTTGATTAATAATTTAATTGAAGTCATGAAACGTTCAGTGAATACGAGAAGTTATTTATCTCTAAGACTCCCAGCAATTAACTTAGATGCAGCAAAACAGGGCTTTTTTAGTGGGATCAAAGCCAGTCAAAGCTTGTTGACTGTCCACCTACGCCCACGACATAGTTTTTGACGAATAGGATATTTTACTAAGATATGGCTTTTATATATTTTAGTTTACTAGTTTTGAATGTTTTAAAGTTATTGAGTTAGGTTTTTTTATCGAGGACACATATTAATAGCAGCACATACCTACTGTAATGTGTATTATTTGAAAATGCTCTTTGATAATACTGATAGTAATATGGGCAGCGGAAGTCTGACATGATATTATAGACACAGCAGAGTTTGCAATGTACCAAACGAAGAGGCCTGGTACGTGTTTATTTTCCCAGATTGAAATACTCATTGGTTGTATCCATTACTACTATCACACTGTAACCCTTTAAACAACTGTGGACGTTGAATGGTCTTTTGAAAGTACAGGAAAAGAACTCTGTATCTTGTAAAAGTCTATGCTATGTGTAAATGGTATGTAACTAGAAGTCAGCCATAGATGAAATGGAAAGTGATTGAGTAAAAGGTAAAATTATTCCAATTTATCTGGGAAATCGTCATCGTGTGATTATTGACATATGGCGTGATTTCAAAATGAACTGGTTTTCATGAAGTAGCAAGTCTGGCAAAAATGACTGCTTTTATGATCGTCCACAAAGTAAGAAACCAAAAATTTTAATTTTTAAATGCATTGGAACAAAGACTCTTTGCTTTAGGTGGGTAAACCACTTTGTCTTACAGAGGATAAAATGTAAAATGAACACTGAAAAAAAACATTTAGACTTTCAAAATAGCGTTTTTATTCCAACTAAGATTTTAATTATGGACTAACAACTAAATTATTCAGTTTTAAGCTTTTAAAATGGTGCAAACATGAGAAATCATGAGTTCTGACTCATTGAAAATCATAAATGTTTTTAGTTTTTTATAGCTAAAACTGGTCATTAAAGGGTGTAGGGTGCTTCAGATGATGATAATCGATAGGCCCAGTTATATTGTTTGTTGAAGATGAAAAATTTTCATTCTTTGATGATCCAAATACTTTAATGTTAATCACAGTCTTGTCTCCTGCTCCCATTGCAATCAACATGTCTAGAAATTGCATCTTGCCATTAACTCTGGCTTCTGCAAAAAATATTTCCAACACTCGTTGTAACGTTTGGAGAGTAGATGAAATTTGCAAAACCAGGGTTTCTTAATGCTGCATTAAATGTCATACAAAAATTAATAGAAATTCAACTTCGACTTGGATGTGGCATGTCGAAATGATTGCACATGCACCAGTACAAAGTATTTAAAGTTTCGCACACAACAGCCTAACACGGGCAATTTCATTGTTTGATATGGTAAAGAGTCAAACGCCCACATATCATGTGACTTCCTCAATAACCGTATTATATCTGACTCATGTAGAGATTTGTTTGACAAAAATAAAATGAAGCCAAGATAGGGCCAGCTGAATAGCTTAGCTCAAGTGGGTTGTTTCAATGAGATCTTTTTATAGCATATAGAGTATTTGATTTTCGTACTTTCAGACATGGAGTCACTGAAGCAGTTGAGACAAAGACACCAAATACTTTTTCTGCGATAGTTCTTACCTGCCTCTGGAGTTACAGGAACCTTCAAATACATATAATTTGTGTAATTGCTCAGTTCAATTTTATTCACGGAAGAGAATTGAAAAAACGGGGATATGTTTGACTTCATTTGAGGATCTTTCTCATTGAAAACGTCTGTAAGGTGTTTTATTGACAACATCGTATCATTATTTGTGACACCATCTTTCATCAACGTAATAGAGTACGCTCTAAAAGAACATACTGCTTGTTATTACAAAAACAGTGCTTAAACAACTTCATGTATTTTGAGAACATCCATTCGAGCAATATGTGCATAAGTCTTACAATTTGCAAAAACAAAACATTTTTGTCGCTTTGTTACTATACAGATAAACAACTCAGATGAAATTTTTAATGAATTTCCCTACAAAAGCTAGGACGCATTTTGATTGGTCGTTTATTTTTAAAGTTATGCGTACGTCTTTTGTAGATGCCTTATTTTTTGAGGACTACACTTACAGTCAAACAGGATGTTTTGTTCCCCTGAACATTGCAGCATACCTGTCAACTTAGCAACATTCATTGGTTGATTCCAAACGCAATTTGCTGAAAATTCAAATTGCAATTTCAAGTTTTTCCCGTGCGGTACTGTTGGTACCTCTCATCATGCCATTCACACAATAAAATAAAACAATTTCTTTACCAAATCGAGAACGTATTGTAGCCTTATGGGGGCAAGGCGAAACATTCAAAAGCATTGCTTTCAAATTGGGAATTTCAAACAGAGCATCCTTGAAAATTATAACAGAAGCAGCTGAAAGAGGTTATTTACTGGAATTTTTAGGAAAGGAAATCTCTCTTACTTCGAGTTCGAGCTCGATTCTTTTGAATGTTTCCGCCTCACAATCGTACGCATTTTGAAATGCCTCGTAGACGACCAGATTGTCGTATGCAGGAATAGCGACGAACACACCAAGATATTCATCTTTGTATGCAACTCTTATTCTTACATTCGGTTAATTTCGAATGTGCAGAACCGCTTCTTTTATCTTCCATTTTAATTCATGAAACAATTCAAACGGTTTCTTGTTAAAAAAAACAAGCATAGCGCCCGATTAAATACGACGAAACTCCCTAAAACCTGTTTTCCGTTACTTCTACAAGGAAATGTTTCGCTACTTCAGCGCAAGAAAGTTGCAATTTGCTAGAGCTAGTTGCGTTGAATATTGCTAAATTGACAGGTATGTTGCAATGTTCAGGGGAGCACAGCATCCGGTTTGACTGTAGACATAGTCACCTTTGGAACAGGTTGAGCTGCAAAATCAAAATATTCTATTTTCGCCGAAATGTCGATAGCACTCTTGCCTTCACAAGATTTACATGATTTTTTTTCGAAAACGAATAAAAACATAGCACGTATATTAGCGACGCCATGTCTCCTAAAATATTTAGACTAAATTATCATATCAAATGTTTTTCGAAATCCACGTGACCATACAAACCTTTTTTCGTTGATTAGGAAACTATATATATAACAAGCATAGTCTGCGATGCAGGCTAAAATACACGTGTTATTAATACTTATTATTGTTATCATTTAAAATGAGAAACAAATGGTTAAATCATTCCATTACATTAGTGACTTTGGAAAGTTGATTACATACAGTATCTTAATTCTATTTAGAAGCTTATTATTTGAGCTCAAAAGTAGTTATCATTATATCAACTCATTCTATTTCAAAACGCATAGAACTTTAACAGGAAACATGGTCAGGGGTTAGGTAGCCCATTTACTCTAATTTGTTGATGTAATTTCAAAACAAGAAATCTAAAGCGATTATTTCTTTGTTGTCTGATACCATACGTTCAACTGTTCGCCAGCTCACGTTCAATTAAATATTTCAATCGTAATTCGTGATTAACATGATTTATTATATGGCGGACGTCACTTCCTGTAAAATGGCCCGCTTTGACCGGCTCACAAACATTTTTGTCAGTCCATTATTCTCCCGTAATGGACCACTGTCCAACACGCGTAATTTTTCGGCAAAATGTAAACAAACTTTATAAAGCAAACAGCAAAAAATGAAAAAAAAACGGGAAAAAAGCATATATGAATGTGAGTTGAAGAAAATAATTTCGGAAAATCCGTTTAATTATCCAAACGACACAACTTCCAACATTTTTTTTACTGACGAAAACTAAAGAAATGAAAACCAACCCGTACAAAACAGCGAGGACGAGAAGGAAAGAAGGTTTCTTTTCAAGTCAAAGATGCCATATAATAAACCTTTTATACGTACCTCGCTTTCTTAATCTTTATTTGAGATATATTGGACGTTTGTTTTTTTTTGTACAAACTTCACCCTACGGGCTCGGTCCGTACCAAAAATTTAGATCCAATATTTCTCCGTAAAGACCTCGCATTCGGTCAATAAGGACTTAATAATAACAATTGCAAGCTCCGGCTAGAGCACTACAGCATGACAGCTTACCGTACATCCCCTTTTTTCCACGAGCATACAAAGACCAAACGTTTGGCGTTCGTCGAAATATCGGGATTTTTTGTGGCACTTACTTTGAAGGATATCGCAAAGGTAAAAGGCACAGAACGAACTTTTTTCTTTGAAGTAATAACTATTTGAGTTGATGTGCCAGGTTTCACTTGATTTGGAATAATGGTTTCAAAAATCATTCTTTTATCACCATACCTATAGAGTTAAAATGGACAAATGGAAAGATTTAGTTTTGATTACAACCATCCTCATTATCAAACAATGTGGCTCACCCACGATGGGCGGTGCCCACAAAGGATTTAAAAGAGTATTCTTTTTTATTATACGGCAAGCAGCGTCACTTCCAGCAAAATGGCGCGCTTTGATTGTTTCAGAAACATTTTGGCTGGTCCATTATTTTGCTCTATCGGATCACGGTCCAACATGCGTAATTTTACAAATAAGTGTAAACAAACTTCATAAAGCAAAAAGTAAAACGCAAAAAAAAACACATTTACGAATGTGAGTGGAAGAGAAAACACTCGGAAAACAGTTTAATCTATCCAGACGATACAATTTGCAACGATTTATTTTTTACTGACGAAAACTACAAAAGTGAAAGTCAACTGGTAAAAAATAGTGAGGACGAGAAAGAAATAAAGCTTCGTTTCACGTCAAACAATTGCATTAAATAAACTTTTTATTAACCTCGCTTTCTCAATCTTTACTGAGAAATATCGGAACTCGGTCTTTTTGTACAATCAAAAAAATTCGGTCCGATATTTCTCCGTAAAGACCTCGAGCTCGGTTAATAAGTGCTTTGTATTCGACCAACAACATGGCAGTCGTGACGTAACATGCAAACCGCCTATAGTCTACTTAAAGATGACGCAGATTCATTTTTTCTTTTCACTGAAGTAATGTAAAATATCGACATCTTTTGCGTAAAGACAACGCATAACATCGAAATAGTTTCATAAAAACACACATACGCATTTCAGGAGCATTGTGTTTAGGCTCTCTCGCTATTCGGGTCAGCTCATCCCCGTGATATTGGATTATAATCCTAAATCGTCCCAACAAAACAAACAAAACAATAACTAACTTGTAAATGAAACTAATTTGATCCAAATAAAAATGTTTTGCCATTTTGCATACTTTAGTACAGTCCAGTTTTAGTGGATTTTAACCCCTCGCTCATCGTAAAAACGTTTAAAAAACTGGTCGATAACTTATCGTATGGATAAATCTTAGCCACCACCCCTGGAACGCTAGACGTGTAAATAATATAAAAATCCATCCATGGTCTCATTTGATATTGTTTCTTTTGTATTTTCTAAATTAAAATCAGCATCAAACATTGGGGCTTTGACTGGCCTTATTCCTTTCCCATGGGAGATGATTAGCTTGTCAATGCATAAAACCAATTTGCGTTTTCTCCAAAAATTGTTTGATTTACGCAGCAAAGTAATTCGCTATGCATGCATGAATATCCGCTTTTTAGTCACACTGTAAGAAAAAGCTTGCTATTTCTAAAAATGGGTGCGCAATGCATAGACCTAGGTAGCCTAGCTTTAAACTGTTCGTATGCTGCTTATTTTGTGTAAAAAAAACATATGAGAGGTATATAAAAAACTTTATGAAAAATGTCTTTTGTAAAGTTACAACGTCTTCGATTTGTATATGTAATAGCATGGTTTCGAGTGCAATTTGGGCAAAACATGCACGAGTGAGTTTTTCACAAAAACTCACGAGTGCTTGTTTTCCAAATTGCACGAGAAACTATGCTATTACTTATAATTATTATATGGCAAGCGTCACTTCCGGCTATATGGCGCACTTTGATTGGCTCAGAAACATTTTTCCTGTCCATTTTATTTCCCGTAATCGACCACGGTCCAAAACGCGTAATTTTACAGTCAAATGTAAACAAACTTTATAAATCAAACAGCAAAACTCAAAATATACGAAACAAAAAACCATTTACGAATGTGATTCGAAGGAAAAACAGTTGAAAAACATTTTAACTATTCGGTAAAAAATAGCAAGGACGAGAAAAAAAGCAAGCTTCGTTTCAGTTTAAATAATGCCATATAATAAAAGTTTTAATGACCTCGCTTTCTCGCTCTTTACTGAGAAATATCAGACCTCTATACATAAAAACTTCGGTTCGATATTTTTCCGTAAAGACCTCGCGCTCGGTTATTAGTATAGGTAATAGGATGGTTTCGAGTGCAATTTGGGAAAAACATGTACGAGTGAGTTTTTCAAAGACTATCAAAATTGCACGAGTCTGAAGGACGAGTGTATTTTTAAGTCTTTGAAAAACTCACGAGTGCTTGTTTTCTAAATTGCACGAGAAAGTCACCACGCTTCAAAAATTATAGTGCTTTTTTCTCACCGCATTTCAAAACTCATCATGTTTCAAAAAGTATTGTGCTTTTTTTCAAAAGCTCAAAAGATGTGTTCTCCTGCTTTGATAGTAATTGAACGTTACTACTTTGCACGAAGCATTTGAAAAAATTGTAGCTAGTGCCATTTTAATGCCAATCCAAACTTATTAGGAGTTGAGAGAATATAATGAGTCGTGATATGTCCATCGAAATTTAGATAAAACATAGATTTTCATTATAAAAATAAGTTGTACATCTAGTAAGGAGTTTCTGGCGCTTATTCAGTTTATTCTCTATCAACATTTAAAATACACTCTCCTTTATTACAGTCCATGATCACGATTGATTTCACTGAAAATGAACAAAGTATAGAACGTGTATGCGTGATTATTACTAACATGCCAGCAAATTAGCAATATTCTGCAGCCCCTGCACTGTAAAAACTAATTAGTTAAATAACCATATGATTGGTTAAAGTAACCATAAAAATTTTGGTTAAAGTGGTTAAATGCCTCTGAGGTAACAAATTTTTATGGTTATTTTAACCAATCAGTTTTTACAGTGTGAGGGGTAGTGGCTACATTAAGCTTTATCGTGACGCGGTGTCAATTGCTTTGCAGTGTGATTAAATTAAAAACAGCGCGTTTGAATTGCCCTTGTTAAGTAGTTATAGTTGAAATAGAAAACTTACCATACTGGATCATAAAGAGTAAAGGAATTCAATGTATTAGGCAGATTTTCAATCATTACAAGGTTAGAAACATCACGTTGAAAGAATTTCCAAACTTTAGGTATAAACATGACAGCTGTAACAACGAGTGTTGCCGCTAAACTCAAAAGGATTGGTTCACGTTTGACAGAAACAGTTTGATGGCCTACGATGTAATTAAAATCATCTAGTTGAAGAAATATACGTGCATTTTTACTAGTCGTCATCTGACCAATCATTTTAATTTGCAGTTCAGAGTTTCGTAATAGTTGGTTTTTTCCTTGTTCTCCAGCAGATATCATTGTTAAGCCATTGAAAATTTCTTTTCCTTTATCCTTGATATTTTCATCCAGAACAGTGACATTGAACTTGTTTCCGTTTTTTGTAACGTCAAAACCAATACAGAGCTTTTTTTCAACCGACGATTGGTATTTGCTTAATTGGTAGCATAGTATGCCTTTTATTTCATTTCCAACTATTTTGGTAATCTCTGTCTGTTGTAGAAGATCGTCACTTCCCTGTTCGTTTCCAGCTGGATGAATAAATAGCTGTGGAGGGTCTACTGCATGCCCTTTAATATGGTATATTTCAGGATTGAAAAGCGAACGAGACGTCATGTTGTTTAAGATTATGATCGTTAAGGCTGTTGGATTATTGCTCAAGGCAAACCCGAGTGTTTTTTTTGCAATAAAATTAGCGATAGAACTGATCAAATCACCAGAAGCACCAACGAATGCCTCAGCAGCTCTTTTATTGCCAACACTGTTAACGATACTGCAAACGTTGCCAACAAAGAAAAGGCTGGCCACATACAAGAATAGTACGTATTGGACTTTCCACATTTTGAAAAACTACAAATAGTATATTAAGTTTAACTTTTTGAAAAAATTACGATCTAAGGCAATATACTGTTTCCCGTTCAAAAACATTTGAAAGGAGCACCTGCTTTTATATTACATTACATTTGATGCATGAATGGATTTATTTGTTTTAGAAATGATATACAAATACCTGCAAAAAATCATGGCGTGCAATGTTGTCACATTTTTCTATGAAACATATGCATGGCGACATTTTATCATTAAATCAATTTTGTATCAACACATTTATAGTGCAAGTGCATGGAGAGAATTCAATTGATCTGGTAGTATATTTTCTAGGAAAATTGCCCCTTCTTTGGAAATTTGGCCTCCTTACCAACTTTTACTTTTATCTCAAAAAAAAAACGGTGCAACTTTTTTCTAAAACGAAGATCCAGGTGATATAAGATATTAGAACTTCTAAAGATGTATGAATTTTGTCAAAAATGATTAAACCATTCATACAAATGTTGTTATTCACAGGTCTAATATAAAGAACAGGTAGTAATAAAACTAATGACGCAGAAAGAGGTATAGAAAATAGCAGCTGCACCACCTGTCCCAAAAATTAAAGCATGCCTAAATGGACACGTTTGAGATCAAAGACTTCACATGTTGAAATGAACAAAAGTGCAGATAAAGGAAAACCATTTGGCTCGATATAGTTTGTTTGACGGAAAGCTACGTGCAAACGTATATTACGTTTATATTACATTACATTTGATGCATGAATGCATTTATTTGTTTTGGAAATAATATACAAATACCGGTGTACCTGCAAAAGATCATGGCGTGCAATGTTTTCACATGTTTTCTATGAAACATATGCATGGCGACATTTTAGCGTTAAATCAATTTTGTATCAACACATTTATAGTGCAAGTGCATGGAGAGAATTCAATTGATCTGGTAGTATATTTTCTACGAAAATTGCCCCTTCTTTGGAAATTTAGCCTCCTTACCAGGTTTTACTTTTATCTCAAAAAAAACGGTGTGACGTTTTTCAAAATGAAGATCCCGGGTGATCTAAGATATTAGAACTTTTAAAGATGTATAAAATTAGTCAAATATTATCAGACCAGTCCGAATAACTATCATACTTTGGCGATGACATCACTCTTTGTCGAAAATGTTGTTATTCACGCGTCTAATATAAAAAACAGATAGTAATAAAACTAATGACGCAGAAAGAGGTATAGAAAATAGCAGCTGCACCACCTGTCCCGAAAATTAATAATATTTCTGAATTTTAACAAGGATCTGAGATAAATGATTTTCATAGAATATGAACTGAAGTCAAAAACACTTAGAAAGATGTACCCAATACAATTTGGCTTTATTCCTTGGTGAAAAACGACTCTTGCTAATAGTTCAATGTTGTGTAAAGGCTCTACGGTAAGAGTTGCATTCCTAGACTTTCGCAAAGCCTTTGACTTGATCGACCACAGGTACATGTTGAGAAACTGTCCGATTACAAAATAAAACTAACGATTATAAATTGGACCGCGGCTTCTATCGTGACCGATCTCAATGAGTAAAAATAAACTCTTTGAGTTCAAGTTATCTACAAGTTCCTGCTGGCATTCAGATCGGTCAGCTCGGTCAGGGAATAAAGCTCGGTCATGGTTGTATATTCCTAGCTATAATAAATGATCTAGAAATCACAGAATCTTCGAATGAAAATTTGTTGAGAATATGCATATGATACGTCGATCTCCGAAGTTATTCCTAAAGTTGCATGGTATCAGTTCCACGTCTATTAAAGTTGAGGAAGTTAGTAAATAATCCAAAGACAATAAATTTCAACTTAACGCTAGTAACTGTAAAGAGGATAAACTTTACGATGATGCCAATCAATGAGAACCACTAGATGGACAAAATGGGAGCCATTTTAAATTATGGAATCTGCCAAAGTTTTAGATCTGACAATTATTGATGTTTTGACATGGAAAAAAACATGCAAGCAATATTGTGGAAAAGGCTGCAATAGATAAACTATTAAAACAACTAAGATGCGCTGAATGGGAAATTAGTTCACAATGCAAATTTTACATCACGTGCATAAAATCGGTCATTGAGCACGCATATTAAGCCTTTCATTCTAGCTTTCTTAATTATTTATTACTGGAGAGAAATGATATGTTTAAAATTATTCTGGTCAATTGAAGCTTTAACGACAATCATGCACAAATTAAAATGAGCTTTTAGCAAATTAATCTCAGATCTACTAGAAAATATAACCTTCCCATGATGCATACAATCAGATTTAGTATTTGTTTTATCTCTTACTGCACATGCAAAGCAATTTTAGGAAAAAATAGAGAATGATCACGTGTGTTCTGTCGGATTTAGAGTCCCGAGCTCTGGCTATGTTCTAATAGATACTTAAATTACTTTGCTCTTAAATTAATCAATTATAATTCTACGATAAATTATTTTTACATAAATTTTATATGAACTGTAAGTCTTAGAGAAAATTGTTGTGTTCAAAATTCCGTATAGCTATATGTTTGTAAATGATGAACGTCCAGGTTAATAAAGTCCTGAGAAGGACTGTTTTTGTTGTTGTTGACTGACGTTTCGACAACCTTAGCGGTAGTCATCTTCAGAGTCAAATGAGGAGTAAACGTCAGGTTAGCCGTATTTGTTATCTGGTTCTTACGTCATTGTATTGTGTGTACAGGAAATGTGTATTGTCATTGTGGATTAGTGTGAAGTGAAATGTTTTATTTTTAGTTGTGATGTGTGATTTAGGTGTGACGTTTTTAGTTGTAATGTGTGGGTGTCAATTGTGTATTGTCATTGTGAATTAGTTTGAAGTGTAATGTTTTTAGTTGATCGTTTTTTTGTATTGTGAATAAGTCATTTGTAAGGTGCCAATAATTGCTGTGATCTGTTCAGGGGGGTTTGTTCCAAGTTGGTATACCAACTTTCTAATGTAAGCCGTTGTCTATAGTCAGTACTGTAAGTGATGCATTTTGCCGAGTCCCAGTCAATGTTGTGCTTTGTGATTCGGTAATGTTCGGCAATGTGATTAGTTTTGTCTTGTTTCTTAGTAGCTCGTTTGTGCTCAGTAAGTCTTATGTTTAAGTTCTTGCCAGTTTCCCCGATATAGGAGGCGTGGCAGTCGGAGCAGTTTATTTTGTAAACTGCACCTTGTCGTTCGTTGGGTTGTTCTTTTTCCTTTATGTTCGTTAGTACTTGTCGTAACGTTGTGATTGGTTTATGTGCGACACGTATGTTGTATGGTCGTAAGACACGATAGTCTCAGACGTACCTTTGATGTAAGGTAACGTTGCTGTTGTAACCGAGTTGTTCGTTTCGATTTGAGTTCGTTGGGTTGGTAAGTGTTGCGTTTGATAAAGTCAGAGTTATAGTTGTTTTTGTCAAAAACACGTTTGAGATAGTTGTTTTCGTTTTGTAGAGCGTCCGGTGAATCACATATGATTTATGCACGTCTTGTTAATGTTCTAATTGTGGTGGCTTTGTGTGATGTAAGGTTGTAAGATGATTGGTCTAGTAGTCGGTCAGTATGTGTTGGCTTGCGATAAACTGTTGTTCCTAGTTTTTGATTGTCATATTTTACCAAACAGTCGAGAAAAGGAAGAGTTCCGTTTCCTTCGACATCTTTGGTAAATTGTATGTAGCTGTTCTGTTTGTTGATGTGAGTATGGAAGTCATCAATCTCGTCTGCATGTAGTGATGTGATTGTGTCATCTACGTAGCGAAACCAAAAAGGTAGTGCATGTTTGTAAGTCATGAGCGCCCGTTCCTCTATAGATTGCATTACAATTTCAGCAACTACAACAGAAACGGGCGAGCCCATTGCTGTCCCATGTAATTGTTTGTAGTGTGTTCCTTTGTATTGGAAGTAAGTCGAGGTGAGGCAGAGCTCCAGTAACTCCATAATGTCTTCTGTCGGTAATGGCAGTACGTCCGTGGTGTTTGTAATGAGGGTTTTTGTACAAGTAAGTGCCAGATTAAGTGGAATACTGGTGAACAGTGATTTCACATCAAAAGACACTAGTATATAGTTGTCCTGTATTTGTATAGTGCACAGTTTTTTAATGAAAGTTTCAGTGGATTGTAGCTTGTGTTTTGATTTGTTTGTAAGTGGTTGCAGTATGTTAGTCAAGTACTTTGAAAGTTCGTAAGTAGGCGAACCACAGAATGATACAATTGGTCGCATGGGTATTTGTGGTTTGTGAAGTTTTGGTAGTCCGTATAGTCTGGGTGGTCGTGGTACTGAACATCTGAGTCGATAGTAAATACGTTCAGATATAATGTTAGATTTTCTCATAGAGAAGATCTTGCTGTTAAGTTTGCGTACTAGTGATGGTGTTGGGTCTCGTTTGAGTTGTTCGTACGTTTGTCTGTCGTTAACAAGGGTGTCCATTTTGTTAAAGTAATCATTCCTGTCCATGACCACAGTCACGCGTCCTTTGTCTGCTGGTAAAATGACGATGTTGTTGTCGTGTTTTAGTCGTTTGAGTGCTTGTTGTTCGTCTTTTGTGCACTATACAAATACAGGACAACTATATACTAGTGTCTTTTGATGTGAAATCACTGTTCACCAGTATTCCACTTAATCTGGCACTTACTTGTACAAAAACCCTCATTACAAACACCACGGACGTACTGCCATTACCGACAGAAGACATTATGGAGTTATTGGAGCTCTGCCTCACCTCGACTTACTTCCAATACAAAGGAACACACTACAAACAATTACATGGGACAGCAATGGGCTCGCCCGTTTCTGTTGTAGTTGCTGAAATTGTAATGCAATCTATAGAGGAACGGGCGCTCATGACTTACAAACATGCACTACCTTTTTGGTTTCGCTACGTAGATGACACAATCACATCACTACATGCAGACGAGATTGATGACTTCCATACTCACATCAACAAACAGAACAGCCACATACAATTTACCAAAGATGTCGAAGAAAACGGAACTCTTCCTTTTCTCGACTGTTTGGTAAAATATGACAATCAAAAACTAGGAACAACAGTTTATCGCAAGCCAACACATACTGACCGACTACTAGAC